TAGATGATCTTATGGTATCTGAACAAAACGTATCTGAAGAACACACAACCTGTGAAGAGTCTAAAGTTTTTTTCACTTGCCGGGCAGAATGCCTCTTGCCTTGTCCCCCCTCGTTTTGCTTTTGCTCGCCATCTTCAAATTTTAACAAGTTGACCTTGCATGAGGTCGATGGCTCCGAAAATAAAGTCCTAGTAACTGTGTTTCTTTACCCATGTTGGTTTAGCCTTGACCAAGTCTGTCTATTTATGATACCGCCACTCTTCCTCAAACGCACAGTACCCACAACTCCCACCAGCCGTGCCTTTATTCTGACTCCAAAAGGATGATACTGCATCCCGTTATGCCACCCACTAGTTAGGAATAAACATTATTATTATATCAGTTCCGCTTTTCTGTATTTCTGGATGCTCCGCAACCGGCCACCATTGTGCTGCATTTCTGGCTGCACTACTATGAGCATGGATAACAGCGCCACCGCCAGTTATGAAGGATCTATCATGTTACTGTTTGTTAGGAGGACATGAACCTGATCGCCACATGCTCTCCCCGCATTTACTGGTGGGTGTTCCATTAGCCGTCCGTGGTGTGCCGAACAAACTGACGGACCATTCATACATCGGGTCTGACGATGCCACGCTAGTGATTATTCAAGTGCAAAATACGCTTTTCCTGGATGTAGTAGAGTGTATTTAGTCAACTGGTTTGGTGGCAGCTACCAGCCGCCTTATCGTTTCCTTGAGAGGAAACCGAAAGGCATCCTAATTTACAACATTCCATGCACTTAACTGCGAGCTGGAAGCGAATTTCGTGGTGCCGGTTGAGCTTACTGGTCGAAGGCGGTGGACATCTACGCGAGCCTTCATGTGACTTACATGTCACAACTGAACGTTGTGTCAGCAGGCCGTTAAAAGTGATTTCCTACCTCAGCTTCCAGCATGATGTCTGATGGTAGCGATGAAACCCGATGATGATGAGGGCATGCAGTGGTTTATCGCCTTGTTTGCCATTTACATCCCCTTGTCTAAGTTCAGCTAGGTGACTAGTGATGAACTGGACGGAATGACGTGTGACAAGAGGCTTACCGACATTTTTCGGGGCATTATCACATCCGGCTAGGCCACTATGCTTGGCAAATGCTTGTCACCTGGTCACCCAAATTCTTCAGGAGTTGGCCTGCTGACTGCAACTTGATGTGCCACTAAGTGCGTGCGTTGTTTCGCAGCCGACCTGAAATCTTGCAATTTTAACGCCAATGAATTTGAAACAGATATCGAGGCCACATCGCGCTGAACTGGCGATTTCATTTGATTGACGGAAAATGTCTTCGTGTAATTCGGAGATGATTCGGCGCACGCATTTAGCATGCATGGCGAGAATGAAATAGACGGAATTTCGAAGATATGTACAAGAAAGGGCCCAGGTATCTTGCCTCCTTCAAGTCTATCCTCCCAGCTCGCGACGTCAGTCAAAAAGGAATTTTCTGTTCGTAGGATGTTTCGATGCACCCTTCCGTGTTTTGGATACGTTGAATAAAATTATCTCTGCAGAACTTGGACTGCTTTTTCTTGGAATCAAGTCCATTTCTGATACTATATCATGAGGAAATCTCAACAAATGACATTTTTATCGCTGGCATGCACCCTGGTGACAAGGTGGGAAGACATTCGTGGTCAGAGCCCGTACTTTCATTTGGCAGCCTTTTCGATTTCTGGTGGTGGAAGAGTGAAATAACCGTTCACCGAAATGCACTACCACTAGCACCCATTTTGTTTTCCATGAGTTGTGAGGCTGAATGTTTCGTTGTCCAGCGTTAAGGGGTTAAACAACGGCATTTCTGCCATCCACGTTTGTGCCCTTTAGGCGGACTAAAAACCGAAAGACAGGAACAAACTCAATCAGTCGAGTTTGGTCAGAAACGTTGGTCCGTCAGTCCATGAATCTATGAAGCCTCCTAGGTCCCGCTTGGGCCCAAATATAGATGCGTTTTTAATTACACACAGTAAAACCTACTTATACATACTATATCCTGAGTACATACCATATTGTATCAACCTCTGCCAAGAGCGACAGCGAGATTTCAGTCGTTCACTCCAGGACTCCGCCACTGCCAAACAAGTGGATGCAGCCCCTGTTCTTGAAAATTTTATTGTGGAAACCACTTCTACATAATTATTTGAGGATTCAGCGATAGACACTCGGAAACCAGTCTGGCACTTAATCCTCCAAGACTTATTTTTCTAGTGTGTTGCTTTGGGAGCCTAAACGCAGCAGACAGCAATGAACTCAATTCCCTACGGCGGAAAAGTGGCAGTTAGCAACTTGAATATATTTGTGATTTGTTGATGATAATATTAAACTGCTTATGAAGTTCTCGTGATACGACACAAGTTCTGCTCCAATCTATTTGCTGGGGTTGGTTACCTTGGAAGAAAACCCACTCGGATGGTGACCGTCTCGAAGGAAATGAAGTGCGGTTGGACACAGAAACCTAGAAACTGCCAACATAACTCCTGTTCTCGCCCGCTGGGTGCTGGAATGCCTAATGATGGCATTCCGCATACATCCTCCTCTGTTTTTGTGAGTGGTAGGAAATAAACACAAAAGCTTCCCTGAGAGGAAGGTTTCGATATAAGCGCGTTCACTCTCCTCTGGACTCGACTTAAGCTAGTCGCCTGATTCAGTGCTTCTGGTTAAACACCTTCCGAAAGAAACTGGCGTAAATAGAGTGGTAAGTATCGATCATTTGCATGCATTTTAACGGTGGCCATGGGTATACCGAGCTTGCAGTCTACTTTATCTGCCGACCGGCTCTAGACCAAACGAATGATATGTGGCGAACTGTCAAGGACAAGCCTCCTGGGTTCAATTACTTTGCCCCCTAGGTTCGAACAGGCGGTAGAATAGCGTTTTTGATGACAATCCAGTCCACATGGCGGAACAGAGGATAGGAGAGCACGGAGGGCTGATATGACTGTCGAACTGGTTTGTTGTTTGGGTGAGGTGGCTTGCAGCCTGATATTAACAGTTCCATCTGTGGGCATTTTTTGATGTGATGCTTATCCTTCCGTCTATTGTCTGGAGGATATCAGCTCGCAAGCTGACAGTGACCAACTTCTGACCCACCTCGAAGGTCAACAGATTCAGACCGTTTTCAGTCCCAATGCCAGTATCTTCCTTCAGTTCCTAGTGATCCATAACTATGGGAGAACTGACCTGGGAATATCTGAGAGCCTCTATGTCTCGAAGCAGAGACTGGGGAAGGACATGTTTCGTGTGAGATAGCTCCCGGAAGAACTGGTTTATTTTCCACAACTGAATCTGGGTTAACTTTTGGCAACTTTGGTGACGTCTCACGCACCTTGATTCAGATTCATGTAGTGAATTGTTTGAACTCACTAAAAATTCATCCGTTGCCATAGCGTTTTTGTCACAGTTTGAAAAATGCTTGAGATCTCCATCCGGAAAAAAATTGCAAAGTTGGTGCTTTCACTGGAAAATCAGGTCAATTGTGAGCTAACCATTTGTTTTTAATGCAAGCTTTTAGTTACCCGTGGAGAATGTGAGCACCTCTTAAATATGTTCGTGAGAATAAATAACAAACGATCCTTCGCAAATTTGGATCGACTCAAATTCCGTGAAACGTTGCACCATTTGTTTAACATTACCGATGATTTATTGTTGGATGGAAGTAAATATTTCAAGAAACACTGATTTTTTTTAGTTTTCCGGGCATTTGATTACAACAGTGAAGGGGGGATTACACCCTCGAAATGGATCAAAGGATTATCCGTATTCCTTCGTGGCACTCTGGAAGAAAAAGCATTATGTATGTAGCCACTCACCACCAACGCTTTTTAAGTTGCTTTTAAGGCGTATGATTTTAACTCTGATGGCATTTTGACGCGCGAGGAAATGTTCCTATTGCTGAAGTCCTCACTTGTAAAGGTAGGTAACTTTCCCAACCCTTCGTTGTTGTGACACTCATGCGATCTCCAAAAGTGATCTTTAGCTCAGAAAGACGGTATCTGACAAAATGAACTTCGTATTCTGATACTGATTTCTGTGTTTGGCATGTTCGTTGCTAAATTCGTCCCTAAATCGATCGAAACCGGCCAAAATTTATCTCAAGCTTATGCTACACCGGTGTGGAATTTTGGTGTAGGCGTTTTCTTCATTATTTAGTTTCTTATGAGACACCCGTTTTTGTCCTCGACCTGTAGTGGTTAACGGCCCTACGGAGTCTCTAGTGAACTGAACAAATTACTGATGTAAGTCAGATACAAAGTCATAAGGAGAAAA